GCAAACTTAGATTTGAGCTGAGTACTTTTTCCTGACCCCTTCTCAACACCCACAGAGGTTTTCTTCGTCACTTTCTTTGAGTTGATCCAAGTCAATTAAAATATATTGACTTGTCAGCACTTGGGATATAAATAAGACTCAAACTCTGCCTCTAAGAAGTAAGTAAGAGGTGCAGACAGAGCCAGAGGAGGGAGTGATTAACAAGGAGAGGCGGTGATGCCACAGATGGCTTCTTAGCGGAAAGGGTGGTTGAGCAGGTTTTGAAGGGTGAACTAGGCTTCCGCAGGCAGAAGTGAGGGAGGAGTAGGGAAGGGTGTTTGGGGCAAAGGGAACGTGAATGCAAAGGCTCACAGACATGAAATCACACAGTATTTTCAGTGAGCCATAAATGGACACTATTTTTGTAATTGAGTTTTTCCTTAATGATGTTCTTAGTGCCCAGGGTGTAAGGGCACTTATATAAAAACTTTGTGCTGAATTCCTTTCTATAACAAGTGCTGTAAAATAATATTTCAAGGTTGCTGCTATTCTCTGATTGTGAACATTAGTGCCAAACATCATTTTAAAATATATATATATATATATTTTTATGTCAAAGAAGAAGGGAGGAGAGAGAAATAGAGACAAATGATGAGAGAGAGAATCTTTGATCAGCTGCCTCCTGCATGCCCCACACTGGGGATCGAGCCTGCAACCTGGGCATGTGCCCTGACTGGGAATTGAACTGTGTGACCTCTTGGTTCATAGGTCGATGCTCAACCACTGGGCCACAGTGGCTGGGCCAAACATCATTTTTTTAAAACAAAAATAATTGTATATATGTTTAGCAAATAAATACTCTGAGTTCATGTTAAAAAAAAAAAGATACCTAACTGAGTTTTGAGATCAGGACATTCTTCCTGAGTCATGTGTGCAATCCTTGAAAGATGAATGGGAATATCCAGCGGGAAGAGTGTCAGGAGGTGGAGACAGCACTGGTGAATACCCTCAGGTGAGACAGAGCCTGGCCCGTTGGCGAGGCCCCGAGCACAGGGCAACCTGGAGGCGTGTGGGGATCGTGGGCAGATGGGGCAGGCGGGCTTGGCTCAGGCGGGACCTGGAGGCCTTCTGAGAAACCTGGAGCTTCATCTGAGCAATGGGAAGCCAAGAAAGTTCTAAGCAGGGAAGCAATATGATTATGTTTATAATTTTAAAAGATCACTTTCGCTGTAAGATGGAGAAAGAATTGCAGACAATTAAGAGAGACCTGTCGGGACAGTATCTATACTAATTCACCAGAGAGCATAGCGGATTGGATTCAGTGGGAGAGATGGAAACGGAGACAGGGGAGAGGTTCGAGAAATATGGAGGTGGGAAACAGTCAGGACTTGGTAATAGATTGGATACACATGACATGTCAAACTTGACTTCTTTTTACATATATCAAATGGTACAAACAGATGTTTTTGTGCATTCCCTTTTTTATTTTAGCTTGGTTCTTCTTCCAGTTTACATTTTAAACTCTGACTTGATTAAACTCCAACTGGATGGAGACTAATAATAGTAAATATCAGAAAACATTTTCAGATTATTGTGATGACATATGGCCCTGTAATTCTGGATTTTGTAACAAAGCAGTTTGACTTCTGTCCCATTCATTTGGATAACGCTGTGCTATCTGGGAAACGGAAATGTGTTTTAGAATATGACAGACGTCAGCTTGTGTGCATATAAGACAGGGAAAAATAAAACAATGTCTTTTATAACTAAAATTAGTTTTTTCAGGTAAGAATAAGAGCTTGAATTTTTACCAGAATAATTTAATTGCAGTGATGGTTTTCACACGTAAACAGAACTGCACACGAATTATGGGCAGATATGTACGGACCACGCAAGTGGTTCTCCCAGCTGTGCGCTGTGATTTGTCTCTCTGTGCTGGCAGTTATGTTCGATTTAGTAAACGTTATAGTCCACCGTGTTACTAGAAGCGTTGGTTTTTTTAAACAGCTGGGTTTTATGTACTTCCCTTTACTGCCTCCATAAAGAGCAAAGAAAAGAGCCGAAGGTAGAGTATAAGTGAAGCAAAGCCAAACACGGCTTTGTGAAGGAGAAAGGCAGAGACAAAAGCCAAGCAGAAAGGCTCTGAGCACAGGCACGCCTGATGAAAAACCCCTGATCTCCATGACGCTGTTTATTTATAAGTAAGAGAAATTAAAACAATGCAGCATGACCCTGTGCACTCCCTTAAATTTTCCAAAAGCTCCCTGATCCACACAAGAGACAGCCTTTGAGAACTCATTGGTATGCGTGTACCTGGCACACTTCTGTTGTGGATGCATGTGTACTCTTTTTTTTTATTCCCCAAGATGGTTTAAAAAGTGAACATTGTCAAAGGAAAAGCTATTCCGTGACAAAGGTCTCGTGCATTTTAGCCAAAGTATGTTTATAAAGATCAACAACTAAAAAATATTTGATCCTTTGGTTGATTTCTCATACCTTCCCCCCAGTCTGTTCGATGCTTCTACCGTTATGTCTCTGGATCTACTTTTGTTCATAATTATATTCCACAAATGGGTGAGATCACGTGATATTTACCTTTATCTGACTGGCTTGTTTCTCTTAGCATAATGCTCTCCAGGTCCATCCGTGCTGTGGATAAGTATAACCAATGGACACAGACAGTAGGGGTGAGGGCCTGTGCTTGGGGGGGGGGGGAGAGCGGCTGAGTAGAGGTCAGTGGGGGAAAGGAGGCGTTCACAGGGTTACGCTGCATCATTTTAATTTCTCTTGTTTATAAACCATCTTGGAGAGTAAAGAAAGACACATATGTAATACTTTTAACAATAAAGAATTTAAATATATATATATGTATATATGTGTATATATGTATATATATATATATATATATATATATATATAGAGAGAGAGAGAGAGAGAGAGAGAGAGAGAGAGAGAGAGAAGAACACAAAAAATAAAAATCTTTTTGGAAAATGTGCCTATTCTAATGTAAGTGTTTTCCAAGTGATTTTGTTAGGGATGTAAGGGAGCAGATGATTAGTTCATTGATATTAAAATTCCATAGTTGAAGATTTCTAGTTGATTGCTTACAACTCCACTCAATAATAAATAATTAATAAAACCTAAGAAGTATTTGGTCTAAGGAATTGATTGCATTAAGTACCTGAAAAATAAGTCAAAGGAAAAATGATTTTTTGGAAAGGTTTAAGTATATGTTAATTAATCAGAAAACATTAATCATTTGAAATTCTTGCTGGAAGTTTTTTTCAGTGTTTCAACTGTAAGTTCAATATAAGTTTCTGATAAATAAATGTATTAGAACTCCCAAATTTTCCCTTATTTATAAAATCAAAAGACTGCCAAGTCAATTAATACTAGGAGAGATAATTAAAAGTGAAATTATCTTAAATGTGTTTATTTTATCCCCTAAGAAAGGAAATTAAATGCTAGCCCTCAGGTCATCATAGTGAGATGCCGGGCCTTCCTCCCAATGTCTTTATATCAATAAATTGGGGTTAAAAGTCATCTAACCAAACCTTAGTTTTCAGGGATGCCTTGTCTGAGATGTCACAAGAAGAGTTAAATATACATTAAATGTGAGAGAAATGGAACTAGGCGCTGGCTTAGCCTTGGTATCAGTATGGTGTGTTTTCTGGGTGGATTTATAAAAACCAGGGTGGGAGGTGCCTTCAAGGTTAACATCATCCAAGACTTACTCTCCAGTGCGGCCCCCTTCTGTCACTTCTGCCCCCAGTCTCTGCTGTTCAGGCTCCTGCAGAGCCGGCTTGGGCCGCCATCATAGCTTCTTCCCCGAGAGCTACCAGTCTCCTTAGCGAGAATTTGTTTTCTGGGCAATTGTGATAACTTCTGTTCTTGAAGTTGTCAGTTCTTCTTTACAATCAGCAAATTTAAGTGACAGTGCCAACTTAAAATCAGCTAATCTGCATACAGGTGATGGGCTACATCATACAGCCTCACATTTTTTTCAGTGTTGGTTATTAACATGATCTTACATGAAATGTGTCAAATATAAACTTAAAAAAGATGTTGATATTATTAAAGTCTCAAGTATGCTTTTATTGCCCTGATTGCCTCTATTCCCGTGATGACTTACTTGGATTTTAGCTCACAATTTTGGGAATTCCTTTAAAACCAGGATGCTCTATATATCTTATTGCTTGGAACATCTCTTATTTGAAGCCATTTTAAACATTATAACACATAATTAAATCATTTTCCACTCATTAAAATGATCTCTTTTTTATTTTTACTATTTTATGAGCTTTTTAACTATTTATGAAGCAAGGATTATAGAAAACATGGTGTTCTTCAAAGGAGATTTAGTCTTTCTAACTGTGAGAAAATGTTAATATGTTAATGGATAATGTAGTCTTTTTATACTAGAAATCAGAAATTTAGCAGTTGAATATGCCTATATAATTGAAATTATATATTTATTTATGTCAATGTCATGACTTTGATTTTTGCTGTTTAACTTATAAAAGCAAAATTGTTGCTGCCTTTAAATGTGTTAATTTCTGCTTATAATTAGCAACCTAATCTGAAAAGGGGAAAGATGGACTAAAGTATTTTAACTGAATCAGAGTTCCCATGCTCACTGATTCATCCTATTTAACGCTTTATTTTCCTGTTGGTTAGGAATATTTCAAGAGACTTTATTTGAATAGAATTGCCTGATCTTATATGTATCACTGATTTAAAAAATGAACAGCAGTAGATTTTCTAAGAAGTAGTCATACATTTTTCTATAACCAATGCTGTAGATACAGGAAAAGAATCATTTAAATTCATTCATTTCTGACATTTCCCCCAGACTTCATTTAAACGACGAGAGCCTCAATTCTGGGCTCATCGCATTGTAAATTAATTTCTTTCCAAAACTGCATTTATGTACTCATTTGTTTCATAAGCTCAGTTGTACACTCCAAAAACAATTTCTTGAACTTGGACGAATGACACTCATTTCGCCTTCGTTTACCCAGTGCTGCTGCCGAAGCTGATGGCATTGATCCATTAGTCAACATCCTGTCCAGTAAACGAGACGGAGCCGTGGCCAACGCCGCCACTGTGCTGACGAACATGGCAATGCAGGAGGCTCTGCGTGTGAGCATCCAGAGCCGCGACATCATGCACGCCCTCATCGGCCCGCTGCATTCCGCGAACATGGTCGTGCAGAGCAAAGCCGCTCTCACCATCGCTGCGACTGCGTGTGACGCTGAGGCCCGGGCAGAGGTGGGTATTTTCATAACATGTGCTCTCATTTTTCTGGTCATTACTTATGGGTGGATTCATGTGAAACATTTTCAAATGTTTGAACTGATCCATCATTTAAGTCTTTCAAAATTGGTGCAACGTTTTGGAAAACAAATGGGCATTATCTAGCAAAGAATGTGAGCAGACCTTGTAGACCGGCCATTCTGTTTCTAAGTATGTATTCCTAAGACAGTCCCTTGCCTCTATGCTCCAGGAAGCATTGTGTCTAATATCTAAATAACTGGGAACAAGCCAGCTGTCCAGCTGTTAAGAGAGTGGGTAAATCAATTATGGCATATTCATAAAAATGGGATCTCACATCCGTAAAAATGAATGAACTGTTGCTACAGACAACAGCAGAGATGAATCTCAACAAGCTTCATCTCAAAAGCTAGTTGTGAAGAATGTATCTTATGATTCTATTTATATACCATTCAGAAATGTGCTAAAAAGTGTGCTAATGAAGCTAAGAAGTTGTTTAGGCATGCATACACACACACACACACACACACACACACACACACACACACACACACACCAGCTAGAACTATAAAGAAAAGCGACAGAATGATTAACCCCAAGTTCAAAAAAGTGGTTTCCTCTTGGGGGACTAAGGGTGTGGATGTGATTCAGAGGAGCACCCAGGGGTTCAAGGATATTGAAATGTGCCATTTCTTAAGCTGGTGGTAGATGAACAGGTATGCCTTTCACTGTGATTCTTGGAATTACACATATGAGTTATACATACGCTCTAGTTTCTCATATTGCAAATTTTTAAAACATAGAATTGCATTTCCTACAAGTACAGCACATAATAGTGTGTTTAGTCCTTGTGGTTGACCCTATTAAATCTTGTGGCCATCTTGTGACGACCATCTTGTGAAGACGTGGGGGCAGCCATCTTGTGACGACATTGTGCGACGCCACCTCGGCTTTTATTATACAGGATTGGGCCTATCTAATAATACAGGACATCGTTGTTAACGTAATCATATTTGCAAGACCCCTTCCAGAAACAAGGACTTCTAGGTCTACCTCAGGGCCAAATGAGCATTCAGTATTGAGGAGCCCACAGGGCATCCCACTTGTGGGCAGTGAGAAGACGGCTCTTTCCCCAGCCTCCACGCTGTGCAAAATCACCGTGACCTCCCTCGATTACTTTACTGTGGCCTCTTCTTGACTTTGAACAGAAAATTGGGATTTTGTTTGTAAGGGTTTGTGATTGATTTTGCCCCCTGAATTTAATAAATTTCATATGGACACATCTTTAAATGCCTTTACATAGTTACAGCCTTTAAACAATCAAATAATGAGTTGTGTGTGTGGTTTTTTTTTAAATCATAATGCTTATATTCTGGACTCCTAATGCATACAGTGTTGGTGTCTACTTCTAGTTAAGAAATTCAGGTGGATTGGAGCCACTCATAGAGCTCCTGCGCTCCAAGAATGACGAAGTCAGAAGGCACGCCAGCTGGGCCGTGATGGTCTGTGCCGGCGATGAGCTGATGGCCGCTGAATTGAGCAGGCTTGGGTGAGTGGAGCTGTCTCAAGTTTCCGGCTCAGATGAAGAGCAGAAGATGAAGAGCACACTTTTCAGGCCAAAGGAAGGTCAGGCAGAGTCTACACTCCCCCTCTCAGGTCTACAGAGCGCTCAGGGTGCTGCAGGGCACGGCAAGGGCCAAACCTCTGGAGGGACTGCCTGGTGGAAGGAAGGTCCTTCCCTCCTCCCCACCTTTATAAAATCATGTCCAACATTTCCTTTTCCATGTTTTCCTCTTGAGAAATGCTTCCTTCATTTTCCTCAACTATTGTAATACAACCCTCTCTGTCCCTCAACTTTCTAAAATAAAATGGGTGAGCCCTGATGACCACTCCATTTTGCTCCTTCTCCGACCCGAATCTTTTCATCAGAACCCAACATTTAGCCAGCCTCCCCAGATCCGTTCCATTACTTACGAAAGATGGGGTTTTTAGCACATCAGCAAATAGGGTTGTTAGGTTTCACAGACCAGATTACCCTATTTCTGAACATTTTTATTCCCTGTATATATTGTCTGCTTAGTTGCAAAAGTTGAAGTTGAATATTAATTTTGCTTTAAATGAAGAACCTTTTTTCCCCCCAAAAGTGTCCTATTCAACTCTTTGAACATGAGTAACTACAAGGTATATATGTTCTCAGAAAAACTGATTTGTCTTCATAACTGACAGTATTATTTTATCTAAAAGGGTTGGATGGCTATACCCTTTCCATTGCATTCAAGATCTTGGCTAGGTAGATAAGTGAGAACTTAATGTTGGGTGGCTTATATAAAGCAAATAATGCCTTTTGCTTTTATTGACAGGGCTTTAGAGATCCTTGAAGAAATCAACCTATCAGTAACTCGAAAAAATAAATTCAGTGAGGTAGCTTATAACAAATTGCTCAACAACCACCTGTCTCTGAAATACAGCCAGACTGGCTACTTGTCATCAAGTAACATCATCAGTGACGGCTTCTATGATTATGGCCGGGTAAGTGGGAGCACTGACTTGTATTTTAGTATGTATGTATGATAAGGGTCTCTTCCTTAATCATGATGCCATTACATTGCAATTTCGTAACCACCTAACATGTTTTATTTTTACAGACTGACACTTGGGAATCAGAACTTCATCCTTGACTTTGTCTGGCTATAAGATTTTGCATTTGTATATACTTTTAACTAGAACATGATTACTTTTACTTAAATCAGCTTGCTATGCTAGTTCAGGTTTCAGAGAAGATATGGAAGAACCACATTTTCAGTTTGGGGTTCTGTTATTTCTAGGACTCAATGTTAGTGATAAGGGCATAAGTATAAGTTTTTAATTTTAGCATCATATAATTGAAATTAATCAAATTGTAGTACTGGATTTTAAAATGTGATGTAGAAGAATAATGTTTTACTTAACTGCATTTCTGATTATGATTTTTAAAACAACTTACAGTGCAATTCAGTGTTAATGTTGAGAGAAATGGGAAGCTAGAAATTAGAATCTTGAGGACTTTTTGTCATTGCTGCTTAAGCCAGTGTTTTCTGCTTCTTCTGGAAACCAAAAGCAAAAGCAATAAGAAAAATTGAGAACATTTTAAAATCCACAGATTCCATTTTAGGCAAAACTAGGAAACGTATATGATCCTCAGACTTCAAACAAATTTAAAAGTTACTAAAAATCCCTGAAATCAGGCAGAAGCTGTTCAAAAGGAAGCATGAAAGGGAAAAAGGAAGCACAAGAGTGCTAGTGGTAGCAGATCTCAGAAAATACTATAAAAAATATCTACTGCCTGCCCAGCTCTGTGGCTCAGTGGTTGAGTGTCAACCTAGGAACCAGGAGGTCATGGTTCGATTCTTGGTCAGGGCACATGCCTGGGTTATGGGCTCAATTCCCAGTGTGGGGTGTGCAGATGATTCTCTCTCATCATTGATGTTTCTCTCTCTTCCTCTCCCTCCCTCTCTGAAATCAATATATATATATTTAAATCTACTTCTTGAGGTGATGGGAAAACTCAGAAGTACAAATGGAAAACTCTGTTCCAGGTGGGTGCAGGATCAGGAGCTGGGGTGGAAAAGGCTGGCAGCAGATGCCCTCTTGGGCCAAATTGGTCCAAAGAAGCAGAGGAGACAGGGCCATAACAAGAACCCCATAGCTAAGTCACATTTGCAGGAAACACTCTATCATGATAACAGAATTAGAGGTATTTTGAATAATGAAAAATAGCTAGCCTAAAATTTTACTCTAGCTCTTGCTTCTGCGTCCCCTGGCCACCATCACCACCATAACATGGCACAAACCCCTACAATGCACGTACAAACCACTGAGAAGTCACTGCTCTGAGAAAGCTCATCTCATTGATGATTCATTTTTTAAAAATTGGCACAACAGTAGTATAAAGATGCTTTGAGGGAGAAGAGCAGAAAAATCAACAAAGAACATATTAGAAAAACATTGCCATGGATCAGAAAATGATGATAAAATGTTATCTTATTCATGAGTTTTTTAAAATGCTAAGGAAACAATATCCTTTATAAAGAAGAATTCTCTGATTCATTCATTCAGCAAATATTACATTTCTAGTATTGTAGGCTTTGAATATGTCAGTGAACAAAAGAGTCAAGGATCTCTACTCCCATGGCACCAGTGGGAAGAGGCGGACAATAAACAATAAACATCACAACTAAATAAATTACATCACATAATTAAAATAAGAGCTACGAGGGAGAGGTAGGTAGAGCAGAGGCAGGATAAGGGGGCTCTGTAGTGCTGGGGAGGACTGGGGTTGATGGTTGTAATTTTCAAAATTGTGGTCAGGGGGGCCTCACCAAGAGGTAATACCTGAGCAAAAAGGTGAAGAAGGTGCAGGTCTTAGCCATGAGGATATCCGGGGGAAGAGCTTTCTAGGCAGAGGAAACTGGTGCAGAAGCCATCGGTGTAAACACACTTGGCGTACTTAAGAAATAGCAAAGTCAGTGCAGCTGGAGCTGAGGGAACCAAGGGGCAGAAGAGTGGAGAGTAGGTCAGAGAGATGAAGAGAGGCCAGGTCATGTCAGTCTTGTAGACCATCAGAAGGATTTTGGCCTTTACTCTGAATGAACTGGGAAACCTTGGCAGAAGAATGAAATGATCTGTCTTATTTTAAAAGGACCATGAAAAGCATCTTGGGTGAGAGAGGAGTCTAACTATTATATAGTTGGAAATGACCTCAGAAGGTGATCTGATCTAATCTTCACCAGGCTCATAAAATAGCTAGTGTAGAGCTTTGTCTAGCCTCTTTTCAGATAGCCTCACAATTTTTTTTGTAATCTGTTTAGTAACTAGTTTCTCTTTCAGACAATAAGTTCTCCCTTATGTATATAGGTGGATTTTTAAACCCAGATACTTTCAGGGGTCAAATTGATAATTATGGTGTGAAATAGCTGAGAATAAAGCAACAGAGATTGTGGGGAACTGGAGAGATATATCCTGCTCAAAGGCAAGATGTCCACAACTCCAGGTTCCTATTTCTAAGTGTGTGTGTGTGTGTGTGTGTGTGTGTGTGTGTGTGTGTGTGTGTAAAATCAGACACCTCAAACTGTTGAGAACATATTGTAACAGCAATCATATTAAAAAATATAACCCATGCCAATATTACTTTACAATCTTTAAATTATCCACAGATAAGTCCTGGTACCAAACTTTGGCCTTTGAAGGATCTCTGCTTACAAGAACCAAATGACCTACGTACTATACTCTTGGTTAACAGTAAATCTGATGTGTGAGTCTTTGGGGGAAAGAGGGATGTAGGGAAGCACATACACTTTTGCTTGTCCATGATCATGTGACTATGTAAAGATCCCCAGTATGCTATCTTTCATTTCCCCATGAAAATAAACACTGATGCATAAATCCATAGCCTTACATAGTAAAGTCAGGAATATCACCATAGCTTTCCCTCTGACTCCGTGTTACCAGTCAACCCCATGTGTATTCCAGCAGCCAGGGCTTCTTACTTTTCTGGTGACATGAAGTAATTGAAGAATGTATAACTAGATAGGAGCAAACTAAGAAGAGTGATGTTTACAACTCTCAAGAACTGTATGCAGGTGTCCAACTACTGCACAATGTATATATATATATATATTAAGAGGCAAATAGGAGAGCTAAAAATTGAAGCATCAACATCCTTCTTTAAATGGTCATATATATCTCTATAATACATTTTATGGGACACATTTTATAAAAATATGTCTTATTCTAATTCATGGAAAGCTTTATACTATTTATTGTCTTATTTTAACCTCTTCTTTATGCTTTTAAATTAATGTCACTGTTAAGAGTCAACTCCAAATATGATTTTCAGGGAAGAAATCTGTTTTGTAGGACAAAGCCAATATTGATGAGTAAATTATTTTAATTCATCCATACTTTCAAATATGTAAAATTGCAGTTCTCCACCTCCATCTACGGAAGATAAATCCTCAGAGGTTGGTTATGGGCGAAGTATTTCTTCTTCCTCTTCTTTAAGAAGAGCTAGTAAAGAAAAGGCCAGGTAAGAAAATGATCTTTTATCTATACTCAAATAATTCTCTTCTTAATTTGGGAGTACAAAAATTAGATTTTGGCAACCAGTCTTTGATTCTTCTTAGAGTAATATAACTTCGTAGTTGTTTTTTTAAATAGCTATGGGAAAGACCTCTGGGAAAGGAGGCAGGAAACCTGGCTTGACATTCTCTCTGCTGTGAACCCACAGTGAGATCTTGAGCACATGAGTTAAGAGTCTGAGAGCAAGCTTAGTTTCTTCATCTGTAAATGAACTAATGCCTGGTGCCCTGCTTTGTAATTGTGAAAGGAATCAAAGCATATAAAAGAAGTGAAAATGCCTTATAAATTATTAATTGCCTTTAAATGCAATGTATTTTCCATATAATTGAAAGTGGTTGTGGTTTTTTACATATGACAAGAAAAGCTAGTTATTATTTTAGTGCTGGATTTGGATCTCCCACAGAAGAGAAATCGGAACCTGCTTCTGGACGAAATACTGCTGTTAGCAGAAGTGCCGCTAAAGAGAAAGGATCCAGGTAAGAAATGCGGTACTTATTCTTCTCCTAATTGTAATCAGGTCAAGTTTTCATTACCCAAAAAAGTTGGTGAAAGGGAGGGGTGGCTTTTAAATGGGAAGCTCTTCTTGTGGCATCAGTATGTTGAACTAAGCAGGACTCATGTTATACAGTTAAAATTAACCTTATTTTTGTCTCTCGCCATCTCTCAAATTTACCAGAAGGATTTCTTCTCCTGCCTCCGGGTGAGAACTCAGGTCACTTTGGTCATTATTAAGTCCTACAGTCACTTTAATTCGAAAATGACGACGGAAGCAGCCTCTAGTCAGTCATTTAAAAGTCCCACCCAGGATAGTAATCAACTGAAAAGGAACGTTTCTGTCCTCTTCCAGTGGCTGCCTTTGCAGGTGGCAGCACACAGGCTGGGGCCTCCCGCTCTCCCTGCTGCATGCATCCCACCCACCCAGCTGCTCACTGAGGTCTCTGACCCTGCAGGGAGCTCCGAGAGGGAGACAAGGCAAACAAGACCAACTTCTTCTTTGGCCGAAACATGTACCAGTGGTTTTCAACCTTCCTAATGCCGCGACCCTTTAATACAGTCCCTCATGTTGTGGTGACCCCCAATTTCATTGTTATAAATTGAACATAATTAAAGCATAGTGATTAATCACAAAAACAATATGTAATTATATATGTGTTTTCCGATGGTCTTGGGCGACCCCTGTGAAAGGGTCGCGACCCACAGGTTGAGAACCACTGATTGTAGACTGTGTTTGCGTGTTTTGCAGGCCTGCCATACTTTAAACATGCTTCCTACTTGTTTACATATTTTAAAATACATTATTTCTCTCGTGAGCACTCTCCTGGACTCTTCAAAATCCACCTGGACCTCCTGCCACACTCCATGGCCCTTTACTTTTGAGGACGTAAGCCCTCAAAACCACTGTGGAATTGGAGTGTATTTGGCCCTCATCTGAACCAGCTACTTTCTAAACTGAGACTGCCCCCTAAGATCCCTAAGGTTTAGGTTCCCCAGATCTCAGAGCTATTTATTTCCATTTCTGACCTTGTTTTGTATTGTCAGTCTCTGTTGCTCAGTATTCTGAGCTCTGCTTCTAACCTGCCGCTATGGCTCCAGCCCTGACAATTTTGCCCTTCACCTCCTTTCTCCTCCTCATGGGAACTCTCTGCTTCTCCTTCACTGGACTGAGAGCTCTTTGAGGACAAGAACATGTTCTGATTGAATAATTTCTCTCTTCATCCCCACTCTTTAGCACAGTGCTTAGTTGGCATCCTTGCCTGAGTTCCCTCATCAGTAAAATGGAAAAAGTAAATTAATTGACCATACACTAGGTTCCAGGAATTGTTCCAGTGTGGGGAAAATAGCAGTGAGAATTCTGTCCTCATAGAACTTAAATCCTAGTGGGGAGACAGACAAAACAAACAAAACAAACCATATATATATATATATATATATATATATATATATATATATATATCTACACTAATAAAAGAGAAAAATGATAATTGGCGTATGGCGATACCGTTTTCATTGGCTAATCAGGGCTATATGCAAATTAACTGCCAACTAAGATTGGCAGTTAACTGCCAACAAGATGGCAGCTAATTTGCATATGTAGGCACAATGCAGGGAGGCGAAAGGGAAAGCAGGAAGAAGCCCCCTGCCACTGACAGTGATCTGAAACCCAGGGGGGAGCTAAGAGCTGGGGGGCAGTGTCAGGGCCAGCCTGACAGGGTTGAGCCGGGCTGAGGCAGGGAGGTGGGAATTGAGAAAAGAAAGAAAGACAGGAAAGCGGGGTCGGGAGGACCCCAGTTCTCTTGATGAACTGAAGCGAGTTTATTAGCTATACAATCCTATTTATACACAACACACTGAATCGGAGGGTCTGTCAAGAGGAATGTATTCTTTGTTCCTCTTAATCTCTAAGGGAGAGATACAGCAGAAGGACAAGTTCTCAGTACAGCATATCTCAGTAAATAGTTACAGACGTCTTGGTAAGCTATGAAAGGCTGTTCTCATTCTACAAATGTTACTCCCATTCTACTGATAATTGCCATCCAAACAAGTCTGGGAAAACTGTGTGGGTAAGGGTCCCAGCCTTGATAGCCCCTTCAGGTGCAAGGACCTTGCCAGCTTACATCTGGCCCCCAACAGATCCCCCTTCTTTGTTTTTTAGGCGAAGTTCATGTTTCAGTGTCTGACAGTTTTTTATGTGTACATGTCAGCAGTAATATTTCAGTTCTGGATGGTGGACAAATGGTGGCAATGCAGGTCTGACCCTCTCTGGTTTGGTCCTGGGCAACTTGCAGCGATGCACAGCTGCTGACTGCTAGCATGATAAGGCGTCTTCACCATCTTTATTTCTGGACTGCTTCTCTTCTTGTTGTCTCATGAGGCCACTGCTATTCTGTGGCTGGAGCAGTCCTGATAATTCCTCTCTGTTGCAGGAATCCACATGGTCTTGGAGTTGTTTTCTGAAAATGTACAAATGTATTCTCGACCAAAGGTTAATAAAGGAATCATATCTATAATTTAGTCTTGGGATTCTTTTAATTTTTGTCCAAACGATTATCCTTTGGCTATTTTGACACCATGTATGTTTTTCATGGGTGTCTTGCTATTAGCATTATAAATGAAAAAATTAATTTTCAAGTAAAAATATTAAAGCAATTAAGGCATTTACTTAACAGGTTATCATTTACTTAATAGGTTATTATTCCACTATCCCCCCTTTTTTATTTTTTAATATTAGGAGGTTTTTAGAAATTTTTTTTTTTTTTAGTGTAGTCTTGATAACTTTTAATTTTAATTTTTGTATAAAAATATGACTGCTTTAGGTTTATAGTATGTTAAGCAATTTGTCCATGAAATGAAAATTTTGGCTAATACTTTATGAATAATTACTTATATTAATTAGTAAAATTTAATTAATCTGAAAACTTGACTACTATTTTACTGTTAAATTTAATACTTTAATAACAATCTTAGTTTATACTGTAAATATTAATGGAAAGGATTATTTTGCATCCTTGAGAAGGCCCCGAGCATTCCTGGTGTTAAGCTGGATTTAGATATAGGGTAGTTGCTGTTAGCCAAGTCTCTGTTATCTGGGTATCGATTTCAGCTGGGCTAAGTCTCTTTCTGTTATCTGGGTCCCGATCTGAGCTGGGCATGGGAAGCGCAACAGCCATGGGGGCAGGAGACCTCCCTCAGAAGGGGCCAGTGTTCAAGCCCCTGCATAGTTGGGGGAGGGGTGAGGATCTTTGCCCCACCTGTGTTGACCCCCAAGTTCTCCCCTGAGGCCCTCTGCGACTGTGCCTGTCTTAGGTTGCCCCTCCCAGAGGGGTCTTACCCGTCGTTGACTAACCAGCCATCCTCCAGGGCCAAGCAGGGTGATGTGAGGTTTAGTTTTGTCTCCTTGGTAGCATATTCCCCTGTGGCCTCCATGCCCAGTAACTGCCTTGTGATCCCCTCACCTGCTGGCGGGGCCCCGGCATTGATCATGGGGAACCCAGATTTCTTCTCTAGAGAGGGCCCAGCTTACGCCATTGGGCAAGAGACAGATCCATGGTACCAGCCACCATGAGGCTTCAACCTCAGTATGAACAGAGAGTTTAGGTAACAGCTGTGGACAATTGGAAGAGGGACCCCCTTGGCAAAAAGGGCAAGAGAAGTCAATATAGAATGCTCAAGTGCCTTCCTAGGGGGCCTTCCACACAGTGGAAGGGATAAAATCCTTTTATGTTCTATTAAATTCCTGCCAAATAATTAGTTTGTAAGCTTGTTTGGAATAAATGTTAAGATGCTGTTGTAAAATATTAAAAATTATTAATGAGCTTTTGTTATTTTAAGTTATATCTTAAAATTCTACTGCTGTATTTTAAGAAATATTAAATAAGATAATTTGTTTTGCCCTTTCTTAGAGGCAAAAATTTAAAATATATATTTATTAATATTTATCTGATAAAGCTTTCTATGTGATTTCAAGTATATGAAATTGGCTTTATTAAAAAATCCTTCAAGAAAAGAGAATAAACTTTTGAAAACATTTCAGGAAATGTCCTAAAGTCATTCCTTGATTATAGTTTTGAAATCTAACTTAAAAAACTATTAAATATATATGTGTATTTATAATTTAAAGATTATATACCTTTTATAATTATTAAGAGATATCAATTAAATTAAAACTGATCTTAGTATTTAAAAATTTTGGTTGGGATTATAGAATTTATCCTCTTTTTTTAATTAGATAAATGTTGAAATTTTATTATAATTATATGATTTCTCCTAATTTATGTAACTAGAACTTTAAACTCTTAGCTGTCAAGTTAAATATTTAGTATTTCTTAATCAGTAACATTTTTAAGAATAAACTTCAAAAATACATGACATAATCAATAGATTTAATTCTGTCCTCTAGATTTTTCATGAAGGAAATTTAGATTAATATTTTAGTATTTTGTTATTTCAGAATATCTAATTTAATTTAGCAAATTCCTAAGCCTTGGGGTGCCATTGACTGAAAACAGGTAACCATTAAAATGCAAATTAGTTACATTCTTTCTACCAAGGATGGGAAACTGGGAAGCAAGCCTCTCTTTAAAAGTTATCACTGGCAGGAAATTTTTTGCCTACTTGCTCTGTTGGGGGAAGGGAGGCTAGCCCTTCCTCTATTAGAAACTGCTTTGGGAAGCCAGCCTTAATTAAAGGGTGTAGCCATCTTTTACCTGGGCTACTTAGATTTTTATAATTAGTATATTTTAATAATTCTTGAGATTTAAATCCAATTTATTATTTTAAGGCATATTCTTTAGCAAATTTTTGTAACAGAGACAATTTTACTGAATTTCCTTTTCAGCCTTGAAATTAACTTTTTAATATTCTTTATTAGTATTTAAAAACTGTTCTTTATTATGGAAATGCCAATTCTGCTGCTAGAATCTAGCCAGCATCTTTTTTCCTTTGGGTTAAATTTTGCCATCTTTCTTAGGAAATAATC